CTTTTTCAACGGTACGCTCTCTTTTCTAAACGGCTGAGCACCTGCGGCGTGTGGTTAGCCAGTGTTGGGCGTGCCAAGCCGATAGCGCCGCGGGAAAGGCCACACCCTTTGCTGGGAATGGTGTTTATTGGGTATGGGACTTTTAGGGAGTCTTTCTCTCCACTAACCATAAGTAAGTTTCCCCTTCACCAATCCTCGACCTTCTCGTGGAAACCCTTTTAAAATTAAGCAGAAGCGTGTTTTACAGCGGATACGTGCTTCATATACTATGATAATGTTTCGTGGACCTGGATATTCGCCGATACTGTCTGTGGCTATGTCATCTCCACCTACACCGATTGCTACAGCAGTCTAGCTGTCTGCACTGCTATTTTTCTTCTGGACTGCACAACTCTTTTTATGTTGAGGAAGAGCATTCAAGTTAGTTGGCCGATTAGTATATCAAAAAGTCAACAGATCCTAATGGCTTCTACATACATATAGTTGCCACCGAAGTGAAAAAAAACCTCCTGAGTAGCTTCTTTGTGGACCTTTTCATAATTTCTATCCCTTTCTGCTTCGATAATCAGCACCCTATGGCTCATGTAATTCTTTTCGGTTCATTTTTGGCTGTAGAGCAGCTGTGATAGTGATCTTGGACGCACGATATCAAGTGTGGGATCCTCTGTTTGACCCCAGCTGACCCCAACTCTCCTTTCAAGTCCTACAACTGACCCGAACTTGTCCAGAATGTTCAGAAAACCGAGTGCCCTTCGGAAGTCGCTATGCCACTGCAATTCCGAAAGGAAGTCCCGGGTACTTCCTGGAATGAGGATTTTTAATTGTGCCTTTTATATCGTAGTTATAGTGCCTAAATATAGGAGTCCAATAGAAAAGGGTCAAGCGGCTTTTTGAAACCCTATGAATCAGAGGCACAGTCCAGGCAGATGCCGTGTGAACGATTCCCTTCGTTTTGTAGAGTAGAGGGCAATCCCAGACGTGGCACTTCCCGCACATGAAAATCACTCTGCAAGGTGCTAGAGCCTTTCAAAATTAGCTGCAGAAGCTGCAATGTTCTCCGTCCGCATCAGGCCGTTGTCTGGCACCCTATCGTCCGCTATGCTGTCTAAAATCATACCCTTTTTCTTCGCGCTCAATTTTCATTGCCTTGGCACTGTTGCATTACGAAAGTTGGCAAGCCATGAATGTGTTTTCGACAGATTCAACTTCTTTTTCTTCACTGCCGGCCCGCACTTTCGCTTCGTGCCCAAAAACAAAACCCAGTCCATCCTGCGGGGTCCTTGTGACATCTATTCTTTGCTCCTCTGCGTCTCCCTCACAAGACACCAGACACTAAGGCCCAAACTTTTGCCACAGGTTAAGTGGCTCACACACCCCCCCCCCCCCCCTGAATTGGCCCCATTCCCCCTGGCTCACGCATTCTTACTTACTACCAGGTTCCCTCCACCAAAAGGATTAGATGTCATGCAACCCATCCTGCGGCATGCCCTTGACATATCCTTGGGATGAGACCTCTGGTTCCAACTTAGAAGAATTCCTCAAAAGAAGGAATCTATGGTTGCCATAAATGCACGATTTTCAACATCTTAGGATGAAGTAAAATACCATCATATCTTACATCATTTGACCCCCCCCTTCTTATGCGCGGACCGCATATGAAAATGAAAAGAAAACATCAGAAAGCAGGCATGTGAGGCTGTTGACCATTAAGGAGCACTACGCCTAATTGTTCCAGATGATGAAAGTTCAATGTCATGAGACGACAAATGTTGCTATTCGACGGAGGCGTCACTTGGAAGTTCGCTTCTTCTGGCAGGTGCGCTATGGATTTATTTTCTCTTTTCTTTCAACTAACGTTCAATTGTGGATCAGGTTGAACAGCGATTCTTCGACCATAGCTCTGTAGTATTGCGACAGTAGTGCCGAGAATGGCGGTACGCGCGGAGAGCACGGGCGGCTCGCGCATGGCGATTGTGAATGTCGGCGTGAGGGAGCGTGACTGATCAGGCGAAATTTCTCGACCGATATTCACCTCGGTGGGGATAGTAGTTCAGCTAAATCTCTCTTGCCACATCAGCTACAAAAACAGTGATCTTGCGCTGTTTTTGAGCCGATGAGTCCTCTTTTCCAAGGGTTGGTCCCTCGCAGCTGAAAGCTACGCTGCTCTCATCATGGCTGAACTGTACTGCCGGAGACATCTCATATTGTTCTAAATTTCACTACTTTCTTATTAATTGTCGAGCGAAGTGGGTGTAGTGAGCAAGTGGCATGCTTACCCACGCGAGCGATCTCCGGATCGAGTCTGGATCCTGAGTCGTGCCGGCCATCCAAGCTCACTCCTCCGGAAGAGCGTTAATGGTCCAGAGTGTATAGGTGGTGGTGTGATGTTCCTTCCAAGGGGTGCCACTGGGAACCTGCTCACTTTTGTGAGCTGAGCTGACCACGGACATTCGAATGCAGGCGACAGGCCCCCGTGACAGGCCGGCCTACGAACACCCACGTCACATCACAAATGTCATGTCGCTAAATGAATCTCGAGATAATGCTACGGCGTCCGCGGGAGCCGACGCGCACTCGCAAAGCCCGGCGAGTGTGAAAAGTATGCGAGGGTCTCCGGTGCAAGGACGGCATCGGGGGGCAACTAGGCTAGTCCAAAAGTCCCGCAACGTATGGAAGACTCGCGTTGCGACGTTAAATGTTGGCACACTAACGGGCCGCTCGTACGAGTTAGCAGAAGCTCTAGAGCGCCGACGAATTGACTTCTGTGCCGTGCAGGAAACGAGGTGGTCCTGCTGCAAGTCGAGGGACATTGGCCGCGGCTTCAAAGCCGTTCTCTGTGGGCGGTCCCAAACCACCAACGGCGTTGGGATGATTGTCTCTGAACGCTTCCGTGATTCGATAGTGAGCGTGGAACGCTTCGATGACCGCTTAATGAAGATCATTGTCATCATCGAACGACAAAAATACCACTTCTTCTCTGCGTACGCTCCGCAGACTGGATGCTCCGAGCAAGCCAAGGACAAGTTCTGGAACCTGCTTGATGAGAAGACAGCTGAGGTACCGTCACAAGAAGCCATAATTGTTGCAGGTGACCTCAATGGTCACTTGGGCGCTACGAAAGACGGTTATAACTGTCATGGTGGTTTTGGATATGGGACACGTAATACTGATGGCGAGCGAATTCTTGAATATGCGGAATCGCATAACCTCGCCATTGTAAACACAAAATTCCGGAAACGTGAATCCCATCTTATCACCTTTTATAGCGGTAAAACCAGATCACAAATTGACTTCGTCCTTGTCAGGCACCGCGATCAAGGGCTCGTAACAGACGCTAAGGTAGTACCTTATGAAACGGTCGTCACACAACACCGACCACTGATCTGCACGCTGAAGATCGCTCCGCCAAAACAGAAATTGGCTGAAAGGTGTGGGCCAGCGAGAATCAAGTGGTGGCGACTGAAAGAAAAAGAAGCGACTGTAGTTTCTCGCCTTCGACTACCGGCGGTTACGACTGTCGACGAAACTTGGAAAGGTGCAGCCGAAGAAATAACTCGGATAGCTCGATCCGAGCTCGGCGTTACGAAGCCTGGACGTCGGAGAATTGATAAGCAAACGTGGCTGTGGACGGACCAGGTCAGAGAGAAAGTGCGTGAGAAGAAGAAGCGGTACCACGCTTTTCTAAAGGAAAAGACAGCTGATAACTGGCGGAGCTATGTGATAGCAAAGAAAGAGGCAAAAAAGACCGTCGCTTCCGTAAAAGCAGCTCATTTCGCTGATGTCAACGAAAAACTCGAGTCGCGTGACGGAGAGCGGTACGTTTACCGACTCGCAAATTCCCGCCATCGCCAGACCGAGGATATAGAAAAGTTCTTTGGCATAAATGACGAAGATGGCCACCTTTTGACGGATCGCAAGAAAACTTTGAAGCGATGGCGTGACTACTTCGAAAACATCTCAACAGTTGAATTTGCCCATCCTGCCATCCCTCTTGCTCCACCAGTACACGGTCCCGTTCAGAAGATAACCGTGAGTGAGACCATAATGGCTTTGAAGAAGATGAAGCCAGGCAAAGCAACCGGTCCCGATGACCTAGCGGCCGACTTGTGGAAGTCCAAGTGCTGGAATCCTGCAGAATGGTTGACGAAGTTCTTCAACCAGATCATTGCAGAGAAGAAGGTGCCTGAGAGCTGGCAACAAAGCACGACGATTCCCATCTGGAAGAAGAAAGGGCAGTCCTGGAGACTGCACTAGCTACCGTCCAATTCGCCTGCTCTCGCACAGCATGAAAATCTTTGAGCGAATTGTAGACAGTCGTATCCGGGACATCGTCGAGCTGACCACCAACCAGTGTGGTTTTGTGGCTGGTTGCAGCACCATCGATGCCATACACGCCGCTCGCCTTCTGCTAGAGAAACATCGCGAAAAACAAAGACCGGTGCATTTGCCTTCCTAGACTTGGAGAAGGCTTTCGATCGCGTTCCGCGTGAGGTTATATGGTATGCCTTACGACAGCATGGCGTTCCCGAAGAGCTTATTGAGTGGGTGCGCATCCTCTACTCGAGTCCAAAGAGCCGAGTGCAAACGGCAGCAGGCACTTCGATGGATTTTCCCATCTCTGTCGGGGTACACCAAGGCTCTGCGCTGTCCCCACTCCTATTTGTTGTCGTCATGGATGCCATTTCGAGAGACATTCAGAAGCCGGTTCCATGGACGCTTCTTTATGCTGATGATGTAATGCTCGCCAGCGAAGATAAAAACACTCTCGAGCAACAAGTGCAAACCTGGTCCGACCGCCTGGCTATGTTCGGGCTCAGGTTGAACGTCAAAAAGACCGAGTACTTGACCACCGATCCGAGTGAGCCAGGCTCTATTAAGATCAATGGTACTGAGCTCACACGTACAACAACATTCAAGTATCTTGGATCAGCAATCGCGTCTGACGGCAGTCCTGGCTTCTGAAACGAATTCTCGCGTGAGTGCAGCGTGGTCGAAATGGCGCGCAATGACTGGCGTTCTGTGCGATAAGAACATACCAGAACGTCTCAAATCTAAGATCTATAGAACCGTCATCCGGCCAGTCGCGATTTACGGTGCCGAATGCTGGCCTGCGACTAAAGAAGTCGAAGCCCGTCTCAGTGTGATGGAGACGAAGATGCTGCGTTGGACAGCTGGAGTCACTCGACTAGACCACATTCGAAACGAAGTCATCAGAGAACGATTCGGTGTGGCTCCAATTGCCGACAAGATGCGCGAAGCCCGTCTTCGATGGTACGGTCATGTTCTTCGTGCAAAAGATGACAGTGTCCGTAAGATCAGCTTCAGCCTTGACGTGTCCGGAAAACGGCCTAAGGGACGCCCGAAAAGAGCGACTTTCAAGTCCGTGTTCAACGTACAGCGCTGGCTCGATACGTTGCACACAGACTTGAAGTCGGTTAACATACACCCCGACCAAGCATTTAATCGGGAAAAGTGGCGTCAGCACATCAGAAAAGCGGACCCCGCCAACAAACGGGACAAACGCTGAAGAATAAGAAGAAGAAGAAGAAGAGTTGTCTGGGAGGATAAAGAAAAAAAAACACTGACTTGTACATCGGCTGGCCCCCGCAAGTCATTGTATAGGCCACATCGCATTCAAACGCCACTACGAATGTACAAATGGAAGTAGAATGCGTGCCGCATCCCAAAAAGGGATTGATCAACGGCAAATGCTTTATCCTTTATCCTTTATCTTATTGATGTCGCTCCTTAGTTCTTCTGAACTCACCATGGTCGCCTGTGCTATTCTTCAAAGTCCAGTCTTTCATTTAGGGTTACAATCTAGTGTTTTAAGCACTTACCATCGCAGCTGCTACTACGCGCACTAGTGTGCGAAACCTGCATGTTCTTCTCAACATCCTGAATCGAGCCCAGTGCCCTGTTATGCCTGCCTACCTATGGGCCGGCAATGAGTGTCTTAGAACCTCGCAAACTTTATTACTGTCCTTTTCAGTTTGCCACTTATTGTCCTGAAGCCCCATCGATAACACAGGATACCGGAGCCCTCTTACTACTATAACATACTTTCTTTATGCCCCACATACCCATTTACTGTCTAGTCTACTGGCGGCTAAATTGCCCTCCAGATGTCGTTAGTCCCTGACATCCGATGCTTCCTCTGTGACGATCTGCGATTGGCACTGTATGTACATTCCTCGGAGCCTTCTTCATATTTAGCCGAGCAAGTTAAGTGGGGGAACATTTGGGGAATACTTTGCTGAGGAACTTCCGTCAACGACGGCAATCTCTGCGAAGAAAAAAGGGCCGAAGTGCGACATGGGCAAAATGTCTTTTTTTGCCCCCCCCCCTCTGCAGTTAGACAAGAGAGAAAAAGCCTGAGCTGGTCTCCCGCCCTCCCAGCCACTATTCGTGAATGTCTTTCTAAGAAAAGATGGCTTGCTCTTAAATCACAAATTTTCTTGGCACCAATAGAGAGATCTGGGTAAGCGGTCCAAAGCCGTTAAGTCAAGGAAAAATAGGTGAGAGGTAACGCTTGGCTCAATAATTCTGTATCAACTGTTTATCAACTGTCTAGTACAAGATTCATCATAGAATTGAGGAAATACGACAGAAATCGATTCGATTTCAATCCTTTCTTCATCTTCACATGCACAGATCTTGGCCCTTTGTCTTACCACTAGAAATGCTGTGAAATAACTACATATTTGGCAGACAACATCGGTAAGGCAGCAGCTGCGCAGGGAAAATCCTCAAAATAAAAGGAATAAAAACTGCAAACCCCCACCGCCCGATCGCATGAGAATGAAATTTCCTTCTGAATAAGATGACCATGAATCAGGCTCTCACCTGGAATTACACCGAATTTCAACTCATCCCTCTGAATAATGTCTGCGTCAGATTCTGCTACACATTTCTTCTCGACTTTAAGACCTGTTTTTCGTTAACCATATACAGGATGGGCAAAAATTACGGTAACAAGAACACTAACAAAACATCTCGATTTCCTTCGAACCTAATAAATGCATCTGGCTGAACAGACCCCGGAGAGAAATCACTGGACACAACAGCAAGGTAGACCGCTTGTGCACAAAGCAAATATTGTGCAACATTGGTTTTGCAGAATTTTCCGAATTCATGACATTGAACGAGGGGCAACCTTATTTCCCGTTTTAAAGCAAGTGGGTTATTTTCCGTGGAGTCTACTGAAGACGATGGGCTGCTACAAGTATCACTAAAGCATCGATGAATCAAAAGGAGAACTAAAGGGAAGCTCGATGTGACCGAGATGCTTTCCCGAGATGACTTCACTCAGGTATAAACGCAGACAGCGGCCAGTCCAAGAAATGATGTTGTATTCTGTTTGGTAACTTCCTATGAATACATTGTTGGTGTCCACGTGTGTCTTCCTGGCCGCATTGCTTTTCCATGAACACTTTATCTTGTTACCGTAATTTTTGCCACCCTGTAGATGCGGCAATACATCATACAGACTCTCTACCAGAATGTCGTGTTTTTCTACGAACTCTCCAATTTCTATTACATCTGCAACTTTTTCGAAAATGAATGGTTGGTGTTCTTCACGACCACATTTGCATGGGAGATATGTCATGCTCTGGATGGGTGAGTGACCCAATCGTTTAAATATGTCCTTTAAATCTCATAGATGGTAGCACTTAGTTGATAAAAGCGGACTGTACTAGTGCTTACTGCCTTACTACCATGTATGAATAAAGCAATGATGACGAGGAAGTGAAAACAGAAGTCCAGTAGTTCATTGACCTCTGTTTTTGTTTGTTGTTTCAAAGAAAAGAGTAAAAATAAAAATAATAAGGCCCTTGCTGTTCTTCTTCTGTGTCACGGAGCCGTATATATTACATTACATAGTAGCTTACTGCCTTAGTACCATGTGATAACATATAGCGCCTGATTAGTTGCACATTAAACGGTTCTCGCAGACTGAATATTGAAAACTCAAGCAAAAAAGTCGTCGAGTATGAGTTGCTTTCAATGACATGTGCCGGAAAAACAGCGGTCATTTCATAAGGGACGTCGGCATACCTCTGCTCAAGGTGATGGGATGCTGATGTGGATAGCGAAATGGACTGGCGTTCGAACTGTTCGTGATCTGGGTGCTTGGTTCGAATCCTTGCTCGATGTTGGCGTTTTGCATTTCAAGTTCAAGTCAATTTTGGGCACTAGATGACACCAGCGCCAAGATAGATATCATATTCGCGAATTTGACCACCAATAACCCTTATAAGGGTGGGATTTTGGCAGATGTGCTGGAAAGCGGCGCCGGAATTAAGTTTTCAAGTGGCGCGCTTACCACGCGAGCCGACGGTCCGGGATCAAATCCTGGGTCGTGAGTCGCCCGGGCCAACCAAGCCTTCCATCCCTCCGGGGTCGGTTCGGGGTCGGTTAATTGGTACCAGACTTGTCTGGGAGGATAAAAACACTGACTTGAACATCGGCTGGCCCCCGCAAGTCATTGTATAGGCCACATCGCATTCAAACGCCACTACGAATGTACAAATGGAAGTAGAATGCGTGCCGCATCCCAAAAAGGGATTGATCAACGGCAAATGCTTTATCCTTTATCTTTTACTGGTGGAAAATGTTGCTGCGCCAAAATGGCGCCGAGTGGTTCCCAACGTCAAAAATGAATATCATTTTAGTGATCGAGGAAATGGATAACCCTTAGCTGAAGGCTGATAGCTGAAGTTTCGCTGAAAGTCGAGATTTCAGCGTAATTTCGAAAAAGTGGGCTTCAGGTAATTAGTAGCCCGTCATGCTTCTGGGAACGCTGTGCGGACAAACTCCTAGTCATACCTATTTCGTCATTTTCCTCAAATTGTGAGATTTTCAACCCCAGGATGAACAATACTATCCACTCAACCTACTGCTGATATCCGGAGAAACACATGCGTTGACAAAGATATATGTTTCCTTATTCATCAAAGAGCAAGTGCTTTGATCCTCGACCCTTCCACTAGTTAGAGTTCTTCTCAATAAATGGACTTGTTTGTGGTTGAAGTGTGATGCCAGATGTTCTCCATGGGAAGAGCCTTTGGTCGAAGTGAGAGCATCACCCAAACGTACAGCTTGCTATCGTCTCAAAGCTCGTATACAAGGGTGTCTAACTATGGCTGAATAGGGCTTACCATGGCCCAATTTTGCGATGCTGAGTCGAAATCTTAATTTGGTCTAAAACTCCTCCTGGAAGGGTAATCAAGTGCGCTGATTACGAATCTAGCGTCCAGCGTTCTGATAATGGCGCAGCTCAGTGCTATTTCAGCCTCATTAGGCGCATTTCGGCGCCGTTTGAGCACCATACTTCTTTTCACCCCAATTTTGGGCAAAGAAGCTAATCAGAAAGGTTGATGATGACCCTGATTGTAAGCACAGCACCTATTTTTATCGCTGGCAACATTTGGCGCCATTTAACATGCGCTAACATGAAATGCAAAATTTTGTCACCAGCCGGGACCGATCCCTTGACGGATATTTCATTCCTTTTTTGGTATTCTTGGTATTCACAGGGCCGCTCAGAAAAAATCGAACATATTTTTGTGTTCCATGTACATGCCTCTATCAAGTACAGAACATCATTCTGCAAAAGTGCTCCATGTCCTGGACTTTTCTGGTTAGAATTTCTCCCTTTGCAGGACGAGGAATTCTGCGACACTCCCAACCTCAATGCAGTAGGTAGTAGACGGGGTATTTACCCATAACGATATTTTAGAGTAATTAATATTCTCCATGAGCTCAATAAGGTGCTCGGTTTTACAATAGTGAACTATGTCATTGAACAGTTGGCCGGGAGAAGGGAATGTTGGAAGTGCCGACGGTCACTGGCTCCATCTCAGGACTGCATGGGATAACATCAATCAGGAAAAATCGGCAAGCTCACCGAATCCATGCCTCGCAGAGTCGGAGCAGTCATTGATGGCAAATGGTTTGCGACCAACTCCTAATAGTTGGCAGAGTCGGAAGCATCATGATGCAAATGGTTTACGACCAACTCCTAATGTTGTAGTTACTATATTTGTTGTTACACAAGTTATACAACCAGAAACTTAAATATATCAAATTTTAAATAATATGATGGTTTTTGACCAGATAAAATTAAATTTCAAAATATTTTCACATTTTGTTAATACATTGAAAATTTGCTCTCTTATTACTATCAGTTGTAAGCACTCACAGTGAAAAAAATAACAAAAATAAAACTACAGCACGAAGGAATGAGCTTTGAGGGTAAAGAGCTGTTTCACCACGGTTATGTACATACTAACAAGGAAAGGTCACCAGGTCGGTCCGGCCATTTGCAATGAGGTGTATACCTACGCATTCGTCTTGAGACGATAAGCTAGAAACCGCTTTTCTTATCTGCTAAACGGTGCTCTGAACGAAGTTATGGAAGTTTTCCCCTTGCACTGTACTTAAAGGCACACTCCACGATTAGGCGCGCTTGCCTCTTCCATCTCGGGGGTAGTAGGCAGGCGGAAAAAAAAAAAGAAAAAAAAAAAAAAAAAAAAAAAAAAAAAAAAAAAAAAAAAAAAATTAGTGTTGTTGTCGCACCCCTTTTGCCGCTTGAAAGTGCGCGACAAAGGCACAAGCAGCTCGTCCGACCTGCAACTCACACCTTTGTCCGCAAGCCCCACCCTCCGCTGTCCGTTGCCACGTGGCGCTGCTTGAAAAGCGCGGGCGCATTTGAGGCAGCGGTCCCACCGCGATCCTGTGTCAATGGCACTGGAGCAACTAGAGTCAGGCTCGCGAAACTCGTCCAACGCGCCTTTTCTCTATCCCAAGGTGGAATGTTGCTGAAATAGGGGAGGTTTCTGTACGGGGCGTAATCTGTGATTTCGTTTGCTTTCCTTCTCTTTTATAGACCACCTCCCACCTCTAGTATCATGACTGAACGCTTTTAGACACCTATTTTATCCCGAATCTTGCCTTTAATGACGTAATAGCGCCTATAATGGCCGATGTCAGACTTTGCGATTGGAGCGATTTTGCACCAATTGCAGGAGCGACGGATCGCTCGAGCGACGGGAG